TCTGTGTCTCCCTCTCTCTCTGCCCCTCCCCTGCTCGCACTCTGTCTCTCTCTCTCAAAAATAAATAAACATTAAAAAATTAAAAAAAAAAAGAAGCTTCTTAAAGGGGGTAAAGAGTCTAGAGAGGGAATCAAGGCAAGGGGGCTGAAGCCAAATTCAAGGTGCTTGAAGAAGCTTGGTGCTCAAGGTACCAACCCCAAGCTATCAAATCCCCATTCACAAGCCTGACCCTCTGTGTTTGGAAACAATCAGTGGTGCTGAGGGCCTTATTGATAAACTTCCCCTCCAAGTACAAACATTCCAGAACTCAACAGAGGGACACGTCTCCCTGAGTAGATTTGGCAGAAGTGCGGAGATGAACGCGGACCCGGCCGCAGCAGAATCTACATGTATGATGCCGTCAAATGGCGCGTTTTCACACACGATACGTGGGTGTTGTTGCGTGCACGATTCCACGCCAACACGTGCACGCACGCCCCGGTCTGTACAAACACAGAGACACGCGGATGCCTGCATATCTGCATACCTGTGCATGGCACACACATGACATATTTGAACAGTAACTCACACAGTGAAACGTCTGTACCCTTGGGCCAGCGGAGAATTTCAATCCTGCTAATAGATTGCTGTCCCTGACCCGACCAGAAGCCTGGGCACTCATAATGACTTAAAATCACAGAATTATAGTTCAAAGGGGCCTTACAAATCAGCTATTTCAACCTCCAACCTAGAGCATAAAAATCCTCTCTAACATTCTGACGTGTTGACATATAGCCTCTGCTTAACACCACAGCGATGGAGAACCTATTACCCAACTTGGAACCCTATCTGATTGTTGTTATTAATAAGGAGAACTATTATTTATTGAGTGCCGACTGTGTGCCCAGCGCTATGCTAAGCACTTTAGATAGACTACGGCACATGAGCCTGTGAGGTAGGCATTCTGATCTTCATTTAATGGAAGTTTAAAATGAGTCTCGGGGCGCCTGGGTGGCTTAGTCGGTTAAGCGTCCGACTTTCGCTTAGGTCATGATCTCGCAGTTCGTGGGTTCGAGCCCCGCGTCAGGCTCTGTGCTGACTGCCAGCTCAGAGCCTGGAGCCTGTTTCAGAGTCTGTGACTCCCTCTCTCTCTGACCCTCCCCTGCTCACGCTGTCTCTCTCTCTCTCTCCGCTAGAAATAAATAAAAACATTAAAAAATAAAATAAAATAAAATAAAATAAAATAAAATAAGTCTCAAGAGGGAACCTGGGTGGCTCAGTCAGTTAAGCGTCCTTCAGCTCAGGTCGTGATCTCACAGTTTGTGCATTCAAGCCCCGCATCAGGCTCTGTGCTGACAGCTCAGAGCCTGAAGCCTGCACGGAATTCTCTGTCTCCCTCTCTCTCTCTCTGCCCCTCTCCTGCTCGTGCTCTGTCTCTGTCTCTCTCTCAAAAACAAATAAATTTTGAAAATTTAAACAGAATCTCATAAAAGCTGACTTGTGCATGGTGAAGCCTCTAGCATGGGGGCAGGGCTGAGATTTGAACCTGCGACTGTCTGACTCCACAGTGCTTGCCCTGTCAGGTCACATGAACTTGCCTTAAGTTATATTGTGCAGGATAATGTTCCTCAGAATGAACCAAACTCTGCTTTTCTGTGACTGATCCCAGATCTTAGCTCTGGAGCTTTGCAGAGGCCTCTTCCTGTCTTGCACCCCCCTTCTCTGCCGGCTGTCCAACTCCTTTGTTGCCCTCTGGATGCCCTTTGCCAGATAGAGTTCCCCTCTCCCCCAAAGAATTCCATTTTCAGTGGGTTATCACCTCCATTGTTTGGACAACTTACTTGGAGGGTGCATCCCTAGGATGCCACTGGCTGTTTGGACAGCAACATCACATTATATTTAAATTATTAAGTGCTTATTTATTTTTGAAAGAGAGAAAGAAAGAGAGAGAGCAAGTAGGGGAGGGGCAGAGGGCCGAGAGAGAGAGGGAGATAGAGAATCGACATAGGCTCCATGGTGTCAGTGCAAAGCCCAACATGAGGCTCGAACTCATGAACTATGAAATTATGACCTGAGCCCAAGTCAGATGCTCAACCCAGTCAGATGCTCAACACCCCTCATTGATTGTTTTAAATAAACTGTGGGTTTTTATTTTACTTGCGTTAGTTAGCGATTTTATTTTGCATGAACTACTATAAACTACTTCTTTTTTAAAAATTTTTTTAATGTTTTATTTATTTTTGAGAGAGAGAGACAGCATGAGCAGGGGAGGGTCAGAGAGAGAAGGAGTCACAGAATCTGAAGACAGGCTCCAGGCTCTGAGCTAGCTGTCAGCACAGAGCCCGACGCGGGGCTTAAACCCACGAACCGTGAGATCATGACCTGAGCCGAAGTTGGATGCTTAACCAACTGAGCCACCCAGGCGCCCCTATAAACTATGTCTGTAGTTGAGATTTTAAAAATGTATTCAAGCTCCCTTTAAGATCATTTTGAAGTAGAGTTTGTCAGCTGGAACTTTAACTAGGCTTGCAGCTGGGAGGTGTTTGCAAATTGGGTACGCTGAGTACGTATGCCAAGTAATTCATCAAAGTCAGGCCACGACTCAGGGGCTGAGTCTTGCAGACACTGGTAGAGACTGCCTACCAGGTAACGCGGATCTACGAAGCATTACTCCGGTTCCAATGTCAAATGCCATTACAGCTGTGTATTTGGACCAAGACTAGAGATATGTCATGGGTCACTTTGGAGGAAGTAGGGGGCAAAGGTCAATGGCAATCCAGGAGAAAAGGATTAAGGTCAAGGGAGAAATGCCAAAGTCAGTAAAAATCAGTCCTGTCCTAGAAGCAAGGGTGCCAGGTTGTGGCTTCAGGTCTGGAAATGTCAGTAGCTCAGGGGAGTGTACCTCAAAGTTGGAGTTTGAGGCATGCACCAAGCTTAGGAATATGAAGAGACAAAGGAGCCGTGCTTTAGGCAATCTCTAGATGAATTCCAGAAGATTGATGCTGCTGGCCTGGGGGGGTCCTTTAAAAGGCAACCTTTCTGGGGCGCCTGGGTGGCTTAGTCGGTTAAGCGTCCGACTTCCGCTTAGGTCATGATCTCGCGGTTCGTGGGTTCGAGCCCCGCGTCGGGCTCTGTGCTGACTGCCAGCTCAGAGCCTGGAGCCTGTTTCAGAGTCTGTGTCTCCCTCTCTCTCTGACCCTCCCCTGCTCACGCTGTCTCTCTCTCTCCTAGAAATAAATAAAAATATTTAAAAATAAATAAATAAATAAAAGGCAACCTTTCTGAGCGTGCACCTGGCTGTCTTAAAGGCCCCCCCCTGCCATGTCCCACCTGGCACCTGGCCAATTTTAGATCCACTGGTTGTGAATCTTCTTGATGATATTATCTAGCCCCGCTTCTCCAGTTTGCCCATAACGATGAAAACTGTGGTCAAATAACTTTCTAAAATTGAAGTGTTTCATACGTAAGGCACTCATTCCTCCTTATGTCAGTTAGAATGTTTTTCCCTGCAAGTTATAGAAACTCTAAATCAAATTGGTTTAAACAGTAAGATGTTGGGCTCATATAACGAGAAACCCTGAGATGGATGCAGCTTTAGGAGTGGTGGATCCAGAAGCTTGATGATGTCTCCAGGGGCTCGATTCTACCCATTTTGTCTGCCATCCACAGCATTAGCTTTTTTTTTTTTTTTTTAGTTGGCTGGTTGGTTTTTGTTTGTTTGTTTTTCAATTTAAATTCCAGTTACTTAACATACAGTGTATTATTAGTGTCACGTGTACCATAGAGTGATTCAGCACTTACACCCGTAACCCGATACTCATCACAAGTGCCTTCCCTAATCCCCATCACTATATAATCCATCTCCCTCCCCACCTCCCCTCTGGTGACCTCTGTGATTAAGAGTCTGTTTCTTGGTGTTTTTGCCTCTGTTTTTGCCCTTTTGCTCCTTTGTTTTGTTTCTTAAATTCCACATATGAATGAACTCCCATGTTATTTGTCTTTCTCTGACTTATTTTGCTTAACATGATATTCTCGAGCTCTGTCCATGTCATTGTTTATGGCAAGACTTTATTCTTTTAATGGCTGAGTAATGCTCCCTTGTATACATATATATGTATATGTATATATATGTATATGTATATATATGTATATGTATGTATATGTATATGTATATGTATATGTATATGTATATGTATATGTATATATATACCACCTCTTCCTTATCCATTCATCAGTCAATGGACACTTAAGCTGTTTCCATAATTTGGCCATTGTAGATAATGCTGCTGTAAATATCAAGGCGCACGTATCTCTTTGAATTAGTATTTTGGTATTTTTTGGGTAAATACCCAGTAGTGTGAATGCTGGGTTGTAGGGTAGTTCTTTTTTTAACTTTTTGATGAACCTCCATACTGTTTTCCACAGTGGCTGCACCAGTTCGCATTCCCGTCCACAGTGCACGAGGGTTGCTTTTGTCCACATTCCTGCCGACACCTGTTGTTTTTTGTGTTTTTTGATTGTAGCCATTCTGACAGGTATGAGATGATATCTCACTGTAGTTTTGATTTGCATTTCCCTGATGATGCGTGATGTTGAGCATCTTTTCACGTGGCTGCTGGCCATCTGTGCATCTTTTTTTGAAAAATGCCTATTTCTGTCTTCTGTTTTTTTATTGGATTATTTTTTGGTGTTGAGTTGTATAAGTTCTTTATATATTTTGGATACGAACCTTTTATCAGACATATCATTTGAAAATATCTTCTCCCATTCAGTAGGTTGCCTTTTAGTTTTGTTGATTGTTTCCTTTGCTGTGCAGAAGCTTTTTGCTTGGATGTAGTCCCAGTAATTTACTTTTGCTTTTGTTACCCTCACCTCAAGGAGACATATCTAGAAAGAAGTTGCTACAGATGATGTCAGAGACATTACTGCCTGTGCTCTCTTCTAGGATTTTTATGGTTTTAAGTCTCACCTTTAGGTCTTTCATCCATTTTAAATTTATTTTTGTGTATAGGGCACAAGTTCACTCTTGTGCACGTGGCTGTCCAGTTTTCCTGACACCATTTGTTGAAGAGGCACACAGCATAGTTTCTTAAGTCCAGTAGTCCTCGTGCTCAGAAGGTGGCTGCCAGAGTAATTGGACAACACACTGCGTTCCCATCCAGGAAGAGAGAAACCTGATTCTCTTCTCCGAAGCTCTGAGTAAGTCTATGTGCCTGTCTCCTTGGCTCTGTTCTCTTAGGTCTGCCTCAAACCGAACCTGTCATTTGGTGGAATGGAGGTTAGAATGTGTTCCCTACATGCTCTTGCTTTTGAGAAGTAAATGAGATGATTTTGGCTTGGCTCTTGCTTTGTGAGTCCATGCTGGTTTCTGATGTTTGCCATTTCCCTTCCTGTCCACAAACGGTCTATTTAAAAACCAATGCTGGAGTTTTGCCAAGGACCATAGTCCCTGGGATGCCCTCGCCTCCCCACCCCATTTTTGTAGTAAATGGGGACACCATTTACCTCCTCTGTTTCCAGAATCTTTTTTTAAATTATCTTTAAAGTTTATTTATTTATTTTGAGAGAGAGAGACAGAGAAAGTGAGTAGGGGAAGAGCAGAGAGAAAGGAAGAGAGAGAGAGGGAGAGAAAGAATCCCAAGCAGGCTCCCACTGTCAGCATGGAGCCCGACATGGGACTTGAACCCACAAACCGTGAGATCATGACCTGAGCCGCAACCAAGAGTCGGATGCCCAGCTGACTGAGCCACACAGGTGCCCCCTCCTTTAGAGCAGCAGTTTGCGAATGTAAGTGTGTCCCAGGGGGACACCTGGGGAGTTTGGCTTAAAATCTACAAGTAGCCACAGAGCAGAGTGCTTAACAGCATGGTGAAGTCAGGAGCAAGACTGAGCATGTTCCAAGCTCGGCCCTGTCACTTACTGTGACTCACTCAGTCTCTCCAGGCCTCCGTTTTCTTATCTCTGAAATAGAAGTAACAAGAGGCTCTCCCACGTGGAATTGTCATAAAGATTAAGGGAGAGGTATGTATAAATTGTGTAGAACAGTGCCATAAGTGGCATGCAGTGTTGGCTAAATAAATATATGTTCCTTGTCCCCGACCTTAGAGACTGATGAGTCAGGCTGGGTGAGCGGAGGCGGTGGGCAGAAATCTGCTCTCGACAGGAGTGTCCCAGTGGATTCTGATACCAGGATCAACTACCCTGCGATGATGATGATGTGTCCATCCTGTGTGAAGCTTTTCCTGAGCATGGGAATGAGACGCACTTTAGCCCGGGAATGAAAATCCCAAGCAAATACAGGTTTTCCTCTGCTGTCCAAAAGCAGACCTTTTGTATCGCTTCTTGGCCTTTTGGCTAAGATCAAGTGCAGAAGTAGACCTTTTGTAAGCCGAAATGGTGCGAAGTGAAGAAAGCATTACCGTTAATTTATATGGCAAATTTTTAGGTGTTGCCAGACCATCACCACCCCCACCCCCAAAATAACAACCTCTCTTAGGCTTGTCTTCTATACCCGAGGACACAGCTTGCTAGTGGATGCACAAAATAAATCGAGATAAAGCACAGATGCTCACAGACAGTTCAAGACTCGGGGAGCTTGAGGCTGAGAGGCTGAGTGTAGTTCCCGGGGAAGGAGCTGGGTGGCGCCACTCACTGCTTGAGGTGCGTGTGGGCTCTCCAGCGGCTCGCTGCAAGCTCGGAGTGCTTTCCTCGATAGGGGACAAGCAGAGTGGGAATATTGCTCCACTTGGCCTCTCTCAACATTATAACATCCCCCTTACAGAATAGGGCTGATTGCTTCAAACATCTTTTTAATGTACCGCTGTCCCTGGCATTCCCTGGTCGTCCAGGACTGTGGTGGTGTCACGGGTACCCTCCCAGAGGGTCCTGCTCACCTGGGATATGGACACTCCCCCTCGCCACCTCTCCCAGTTTTGGAACATGCCCAGTTACAGTCTGTGCTCACCACGGAGATGCCCCTGCACCGCGGTGTCGCCCTCGTCGCTGCCTTCACTTTCCCCATCAGCCTCATTTGTGATGACAGCATCAGGACTCCGTGTTTGAGAGCCTCTCAGCCTTCCTGAGCTGTCTTCCCTTTTAGAGCCTCTGCGCTTGGGACTGTACCTGTTTTCTCTGAACCTGGGCAATTCTACCTTCTAAATACTATGGTTCACTCTGATATAACTCGCTTTCTCTCTTGTCTCTTATGAGCTCTAGGAAGGATTTGCCCCAAGCTTCATGTATCATTTATCTATTGCTGCATTAAAAAAAAAAAAAAAAAAAGCAAAACATCCCAGTATTCAGTGGCTTAGAATGGCAACAATCTATTTGCTCCTGATTCTTCAATTTGGGCTAGATTTTTGCTGGACTCACCAGGGCTTTCCTTCGCGCTGCCATCGGATGTATGGCTGGGGCCAGGCTCAGAGCAGCAAGAGTCAAAGAACAGAAGCTGTAAGCATTCTTTTATTTTAATGTTTATTTATTTTTGAGAGAGAGAGAGCATGAGTGAGTGGGGGAGGGGCAGAGAGAGAAGGGGACAGAAGACCCCAAGCAGGCTCCACGCTGATAGCAGCGAGCTTGATGTGGGGCTTGGACTCACAAACTGTGAGATCACTATCCTGAGCTGAAGTCTGATGCTTAACTGACTGAGCCACCAAGGTGTCCTAGCTGTCAGTACTCTTAAAGCCTGGGCTTGGAGATCAGGTGACATCACTTCTGCTGGATTCTACTGGTCGAAGCAGGTTGCATAGCCAGCCCAGATCGGGGCAGGGAAATAGACCTTTGAAGGAAGGAATTACAAAGACAGTGAGGCCATTTTTCACCTACCGCACTTCTTTTCATGAAACCTATTTTGAGGACCTGCGGTGAGGAGACAAGGGAGATGATTCTGATCCCTGGAAAGGACTCAAAATCTGCAGAAGAAACACAAAGCTAAAGAGAACATCACAACCCAGTGTAATACACCATCATCATGGCCACCGGCTCTTACACATTTGCCATTTGCTGAGCACTGTGCTTAGTGATGCATTTGCTTCCTCTCACCAAGCCTTGACTATAACCCTCTGAGAAGAAGTATGTTAATAATTGTGCCTATTTTCCAGGTGGAAAAACCAAAGCACAGAGAGATTAGGTGTCAAGAATGCAAGGCAAGATATAAACTCGGTTGATGTCCAGCTGCAGAGCCCTTTCTCTTACCAGATACCTCCCTCTCCAAGGTCAGCCTTCAGCCTGGACAGTATCTTGCCTTAGGCCTTAGCCATGGAGGAGGCCCATCAATTGGCAAGTGGATGGGCAAGCAGGAAGAAGACAAGAGTTTGCAGCAGGTTTCTTTTCAGAGCGTGCTGTGCAAACAAAGAGATACCCTGCCCTTCACTCCTCTTCTCTGGGCCCCCAGGCAGGCTGCCTGTGTCTTTTACCCGACTCTGACTGAGACGGCACACCAAGACCAAAGGCCAAGGTGGACTGAGGCTGCATGAAAGGTTTGAGAACAAAGGAGTCTCATCCTCCCCAACTGTCCCAGAGACACGTGATCAGAGGGAGAAACTGTTCCCCAAGCCACACAGGAAACCGCGTCTCTGTAAACTCACCCATGACGTCAGCCCTGCATCCAGAACGGCCCTCGTACCTTCCTTCCCACTCATCCCTGCATTAACCAATTACTGAAAACAGCTCAAAATAGCACCTGTCCCTCAGCTGGGGCTGCTGCAGGAATGTGGTCTGTGATCCTTTTCAAGAAAGAGCAAGTCTGTTGGAAATCAGTGCAGTGAGAAGAGATTATCTGGCTCTCACGCCAGTGTCCGGCTCTTACCTGCCCAGAACTGGCTGGGCTACCGAGTTCGCACGTTAGGAAACGGTCATGGTGGAACGTGGCCTCTTATACCAGCTGTAGTCTGAATCTCAAGGTAGTCATTGAGGGGTAGCAGTGGGATCCAACCCCACGAGCCACTCAGATCACGCTGGACGCATTTACTCTGAGAAGTGGGCCAAGGCACAGGGGTGGTCCAGAGAGCGTTCAGTGACCTGCTTCAATACCAGCCCAGTTTCTCTGCACCCCGCCACCCCCCCGCCCAGGATCCCATGGGACTCCCATCCCCACCCACCACTCCTAAACCCATTTTAAAACCTGCCAAAGCCATGTAAAAGAATGCTTATTGTAAATAATAAGAGAACGGTGACAGAATGAATATCCATTCAATAAGGTTACAGTCAAACTTTGGTACTACTTACTGACAGAACATCACGTAACAATTAACTGAATGAAACGGATCCCTTCACTGGCGTGGAAATCATACCAAGGAAATTGTCAAGCAAAAAAGACAAGCCCCATAAACATCCACCCATCTATCTCCCTACCTCTGTCTATTATCTACCTACCTGCCCATCTATCTAAACAGTGAACTGAAAATAGTGATTTCCGTCAAGGAGGGGAGAGGGGTGGAGGGAGGTAATGAGGACTTTTGCTTCATTTGTATCCTTTGAATTTTTACAAGAATGTATTCATGTATTACTTATAAAATTAAAAATTAAATACATTCTCAAGGAAAGCAAAGCTGGAGAGAATGACCCACCTACAGAATAGAAAGCACCGCATTCCTAAATCCCACCTTGGTTTATTTGTTTTTCTCTCCAGCTGAGCATCAGTCCTGCCCAGAAATGGCCAGTGTGGCTCCTTGCCCCTCCCTCAGAGCCCCTCCTCCCTCCTCAGTTGAAGGCTCTTGATTTCACCTGCAGGCCCAGCCTCACCCACTGACCTCACCCCAGTCTCTGAAAGCCAGGGAAAGTGCAGATATCTTGGGTCCCCAGATTGGGTGCTGGAACTGTTTCCCACAGCCAGTGTCCGTGGGGTCCAGTCCTTATTACAGACCCAAAGTGTCTCTACCTGGATCTCTTCCGAGGGCCTCTCCCGATGTCCCCTCGGCTTTTGCTGCCCACTTTGGGCCTTGCTCCTGGAGCTGTATCCCCCCCACTGGCCACACTGGCACAACGGCCCTGAGCAGTAGCCTAGACTGGCAGCCCCATCCCAGCAACAGTGGGAAGGGCGTAAGGGTTCTGCTCGGGTCTCACTCTCCAGGGACCTGCATGGGCTCTGGAGGGTCTAAACTGACAGGTGGCTCTTGGTTTCAGTCTCCCGTGAGCTAGTGAGCAGCCTGGGTGGGAGTCGGCACGAGGTCCCTCGCTGGGCATCGCCACCCCCTACCTGT